ATGCCGACGTAGGCCTTGGGCTGGAGACAGTCGTCGTTCTGAAGGAGGAACACACACGGGTCGAGGGGACAGGGCCTCAGACGGTACTCCATCTCCTCAATCTTGAAGGTCTCCTCGGTGAGCACCTGGTACAGTCTGTCATACCACATACGTGGTGATTCCGCGAGGCCGAAGATCCCCTTCTTTATGCGAAGAAGTTGAAGGGGGTCCAATCCCTCCACTCCACCGCGAGGCTGTTCCATGAACAATTCCCTTTCTAGTTCCAGGCCGTTGAGAAAAGCGGCCTGGACGTCGCCGGTAGCCATCTGCATCCGCAGCGAGACGGCGAGCTGCAGCAACATAACCAGAGACGACCTGTTGATAGTCGGGCTGTCGGTCACGAGTCCGCCGAAGGATCCCCCTCCGAGATCGGGATCAAGGTGGCCTCCCACCACTAGGCGGGCCTTGGCCCGCCAGGGTGTCCCCGGGCAGGCCTTTCGCTTCCCCATCGCTTTGTCACGGTAAGCATATCGTGACGATAGGATTCGTTCACGAGGTACTTCGGCACGCACACGTTTGCTGGTGTTCACATCCAGGACTTCCAGGGCATCATGTTGGAGATGCTCAGCCCACTGCTTGCGCTCTGCTGCCAAGAAGAGTGGGCGGACCTCGGCCGGGATCTGGTCCCACGGTATTTCTTTTTCCAATTGCTTGGCTCTGGACCGTTCGGTCTTCGCTTTCTTGAGCATGTTGATCTGGTATGGGAGTGGCCCGGAGTGCCGGCCATCTGGTGGTCCTTTACGTCGCTTCCTTCGAAGCACAGGTGGGTCCAAACCGCCAGCATCTCTCCTGCTGCCGCGTTGCTCCTCTGCTTCCTCGTCCATGTCGTACGCAATCTCGCCGGGCTCGCTGGGCTCAATGTCTGCCATCAACTCCTCAAGGTCGTCGGGGAAATCTCCGATGCCGGCCCCCTCTTCGGGCTCATAGGTTTCCTCGTCCTCGGGGTCGGCACCGAGCAGCTTCTCCAGGTCTTCTCTAGCCACACGTAGGCTGAAAGCGTGGCCAAGCTCCTCAGGCGTGGCCAAACGTACGTGTTCCTCCGCACAAAGAACACACCTGCCACCCTTGGAAACCCAAAGGTTGTTTCCTTCTTCGCCAATGACCGTTCCCGGCCCCATCCACATGCCCCTCTTTGCGTTCTTGGTCTTCCTGAAGTAGAACACCTGTTCGCCCACAGCCGGGCGTCTCGCCTGAACACGTGCCCTACCGGCAAGTGCTCTCCTCACTCGCTCGTCGGTCTGGACGTAGTGGTAGGCGGCCCGGGCACTCGTCCTCAAAGCTACTTCGCGGGCATGTTTGTCGTCGATGATGGCCTCATCGCCGACGGCTCGTGCATGTGGTCCTTCGAGAAGATCTTCAGGTAACCGAGGTGCGGAGCCGAACACATGTTGCAAGGGGCTGTAGCCATTGGTCCGGGTGAGGCTGTTTTTGGCCCCGGATACTGCGGAGGTCGCCAAGTGGATGTCCTCCTTGGTCACGGACAACTCTTCGTTGATCCTGGCGAAGATTGCTTTCCAGACGCCACCTTGGCGCTCTGTGAACCCTGCCTGCCAGTGGGCCTGGCCGGCCGCGGACTTGATCCTCATGCCAGTCCAGTCGCCGACGCGGGCGAGTGCTTTCTGTAGGCCGTTCTCCAGGTCGACGGTTATCACGCCCGGAGCACCGAAGATGTTGGCCCAGTGTTCGCAGAACGCCCGTTCAAGGTGCGGGGTGTCCTTCCGGTCAACAGGGATCACCACGTGGTAGGCCGAGGAGTAGTCGACGACAGAGAGGAGCTCGTGTCGGTTCCCTTCGGTGTCGTGTACGTAGAACAGGTCGGCCCCTACCACCTCATTGAACCTAAGGCAGCTTCCGATCTTGGCCGGTCGGGAAATCGCGGCGGCCTTCGTCCTCGCACAAGTTTGGCACTCCAGAGACCTCGCTCCTTTCAAGACTTCTCGGCTTGCTCCTGCCAACCGTAGGTGACGTACAAAGTCCGCGGTGCTGGGGTGGCCCAGGTTCTGGTGGAGGCGTCGTAGGCTGCTGGCGATGTACCTCGGCACGCTCGGCGGGAAGTGTATGCTCCGAGCTCCTTCCTTCGGGGCATCAGGTACATGTCCCGTTTCTACAGCATAGCTGGGGTGGACCATGTCTACCTCGCCGTAGGGGTCGATCCGAAGGTACTCGTTCCCATAGTGGTCGTAGTCGTGGACAACGGCATAGCCTGCGTCCTCCCATCCTGCCGTGGCCTCTTCCCATAGAGCTCGTTCCCCGGGCTCGCGCTGAAGTACCACTTGTCGACCTTCTCGGAGTTGTCGGTCGATAGCTTTCTCGGCGTCCTTCTTGGTCTCCGAGCATATCCAGGCCTGGGAGACGTGAAGCCATAGTTCGGCCGGTTCTTGCCGGATCGTAGCGGTCTCAATGGGCCCGAAGTCGCATTCTTGCATCCGTTCAGCCCATTGCAGGTCGTTGTAGAAGAGCGGCTCGGCGACATCGATGCTGTCGTTGCACACTCCGGTGGCATAGCATGTGGCTTCCACGCCGCCAATCTCGAGAAGGGCGACCTTGGGTCGAACCCGGGGTTCCACGTAGTCCCGGGCGTAGAGGTCCATGGTAGTCATAGACGTGGCCATCATAACGCACAGGGCCGCGGCATTCTTCCACAAATCTCGTTGCGTAGTTCGGCGTGGTCGTCCCTCGGTGGGGGTCTGCTGGCCTTTGCTGAGGTTGTTGTCGTGGAAAACCTTGAGGTCCTTAGTGTTGGGCACCGGGAACTGGAGCTTCTGCAACACCTTCTTGGATGTCTTCGACGCGTGCGGAAAGCTCCTTGCTACATAGGCGACCACACTCCAGCGATTGCCCTGCCAGGGCTCGCTCGCGTGCTTGTGCTTCGGGTTGAACTTGGTCACCTTCCCCTTTGTCTCGAGGATGTTGCCAGGGGTGGGCTCGCCATTGGTGTCCCGTCGATACGTCTCACCTCTGCTCTGCGCCACCCAGAGTTCTCCTCCTCGGTGCTCTCCTCCAGTCCATATCACATTGTCGCTGCCGGGCAAATTGTTCTTGTCCGTGTGCACGTAGGACGGGGTGTTATAGGTGATGGACAGGGAGGTTCACGAGGGGCTTGCGTCCTGTCCATTGTGAAGGAGGAACTGGTTGATATACTTGGCGAGTTTGCTCCTCGCCCCGGTCTCGCGCGTCACCCCATGGAACTTGCCGTAGGCATAGTACCCGATGACACATCTACGTTCTTCTCCTTCACCGTGGACTCCGGGTCGTTTCTTGGGGTTGTGGAAGTCGCACGCATCGAGGATCTCCTCAAGGTCCTTGTTATCAAAACGCCCTTCGCGTAGAGCTGTCTGGGCCATCTCCTCACTGGTGTCCTGTGACGAGTTGAGGTAGATGTCCTGGGCCAGGTAGTTCTGCGTCTCGTCTTTGGTGTAGAGGATCTCATGGCTAGGGAACGACGGGGACGACGTACCTAGGTTTTCACCCGTGTTTGTCTGGAAGATGTCCTCGTCGCACCCACCCTTGTTGCCTCCTTTGGCCACCGTGTAGACACCGTGCACGTTGGTCTGGTCCTTGGGGTAGAAGTCCTCGCTGATCTCCTTGTCGTAGGTTGCGCGGTCCACTGTAGTCGTGCCGTGCTCGCCCGACTGGTCCTTGGGGTAGAAGTCCTCGCTGTTCTCCTCGTCGTAACCTGTACCATCTCCTGTAGCCGCGTCGTGCTCATCCGTCTGGTCCTTGGGGTAGAAGTCCTTGCTGATCTCCTCGTCGTAGGTGGCGTGGCCCGTCGTGTAGTTTTCACCCTTCTCGCACGTCGTATCGTCTCCAGTGAGGTAGCCTTTCATCGCCGGGGCTCCACCCCTGCAGCATCCCTCAGACAGGCCAATCGCTCCTCGAGAGCTCGGATCTCCTCCAACATGTGGGGCTCCACGTCCCTTTCCATCCTTTTGGTCCCGGCGTCCTCCTCGAGGGGTCTCCGTGTAGGTCTCGTACTCGTCCTGGGCGGTGTACTCGAGGTTGCGCTCAGTCGGTCCACCATATCCCATGCTGAGGCGGAGGCTCCCGTCTCGCTCACTGGTGGCGGTGGGATCATCGCGTTGTCCTCGACATCCAGGTACCCCCTCTGGCGGGGCTTGGCCTTGCGGTCGGTCGCGGCTTCCTTGACCTTCTGGTTGCGCTTCCAGATGACAAACCTTTTGAGTTCTGGGTGCATGTTGTCCCCGTTGGCCCTCTCCTCGTCGGAGGCCCAATCCGCGTAGGTGGCCGGAATGTTCATGTAGGTCTCGCCGCGGAACCTCCCAATGGTCATCACCGTGTCGTCTGGGGCCGTGAAGTCGCGGATCTTCAGCATGATCGATCCCCTCGTTTCCTTCTGGCCGACGTCGATGCCCAGACCGATCGCTTCCTCCACCAGCTCGTCCCGGGTCATCTTCGAAATGCTCTTGGGCACTTCGGTCTTCGGGCCCCGGTAGAGGTAGTGCTTGGTGTCCCCGGCCAGCACGTGGCGAAGCTCGGTCAAGGTCCACTTCGAGCTCACGGCGAGGCTGCGGCGGTTGCACTCGGCGAGGAGCTCCGTCTTGTTCATCTTCCATGTCGGGGTGCTGCTGCTCATCCCGCGCCGGGGGGAGTAGAAGAGTGCTAGGTCGCTCTCGATTGAAGACACTGCGGCCAATCCACAAAGTTGGGTAACTGCCGTGCTCTCCCTCATGAGGCGTGTCTCTCCACAAGTGGCACACGGTACTTAGCGGTCGCTGACTGCTGCAAGCAACCCCCCAACTCTCGCGTACACT